TGGGATGGGGGCAGCGGGACCGCCAGGCTAGCGGGTGTGCTCCGGGGAAGGGTCGGCCGGACGGGAGGCACGCCAGGGAGGCACTCGGAGCCTGGAAGGTGGTCGGGCGCAGGGAGGTGGGCGGCTCAACGCAGGAGCGCCCCCTACTGGCCCGCCACAGTGGACACATTGAAAAGAGTCCAGCAGAGGGCAACAAAAATGGATTGGGGGCTGGGGCACATGACTGGTGAGGAAAGACTGGGGGAACTGGGCTTATTTAGTCTGGAGAAGAGGCGACTGAGAGGAGATGTACTAGCAGCCTTCAACTCCCTGCAGGGGGTTGCAAAGAGGATGGAGCTGGACTGTCCTTGGTGGTGGCAGGTGACAGGACAAGGCGCAATGGGCTCAAGTTTCAGCAAGGGAAGTTGAGGTTGGATATTAGGAAGAATTTTCTCACTAGGAGGGTGGTGAAGCACTGGGACAGGATACCCAGAGAGGTGCTGGAAGCTCCATCTTTGGGGGTTTTCAAAACCTGGCTAGACAAAGCCTTGGCTGGGATGATGTAGTTGGGGCTGGTCCTGCTTGGAGCAGGGGGTTGGACTCGATGTGACCCCCTGAGGTCCCTCCCCACCCTCATGTGCCCTGATTCTGTAACAGGACGTCGCAGCAGCAGCACCTACTTTCTTGCACCAACTTGAGATGGACCAAGGGCTGTCAGTGCAGCGTCTCCCCTGCCCTGCCATCTCGCCCCACAGCCCCAGAGCTAAGAGGTCACCCTTCCAGAGGGCAACCAGCACTAGGCTGCTGTCCTGGAGCAGACCCGGTGTTAGAGAACGTGGCCGCCTGCTTTCAGCATATGCGATTTGTCATTAAAAAGCAGCGCTGTGGCCTTCCTGGCGCTGGAAAGAAGTGTTTCTAGCAGCTCGGTCTGTGCTGCTTAGACAGGGTGATTGAAGTTAAGCTGGAACGAGGCCCCTTTGCCCCGAGCAAAAGGGGCCACACACTGAGTAGCACCGATACCAGAGCAGGCTGCAGTTGACATGCCGTCGCTCCGGCTCCAAGAGACCGGCCCCGACCCTGGAAGGGCGCTAGCAAGAGAGCGTGAGCCGCGTTGGCAGGGAACCGCAGTGACAGGAGCCCCGTTTCCCCGTCTCGCACATCATCCTCCGCTGACAGAAGAGCTGTTGCTGGAACGGCCTGCATGCACATACCTGCGCTCCGCTCAGATCTCGCTGACCTGGAGCCTGTCACTGGGGAATGCTGGATGGAAGAGACGGCTCCGAAACGAAAAACAACCGCCGCACGCTCTCCAGAGCCCATCCAGACCCGGGGAAATGGATGGGACTCATTCCACGCCTCCCCCCAGGACCCTGTCGGCCTCTTTGGTGCTGTTCCTCTGACTAACGATGTCTCAACTTTCCATTACATGGCCGACAGCCCCGAGATGGAGTTCAGCCTCTGCTGGGACTTTGTCCCACCAGGCTGGTGCAGCACTTTTCCATGCAAAGGGGTTGATTGGGATATAACTAAAAGAGCCTCTGCAAAATGCTGCATCTCAGGATGCAGCTTTTGGTTTCGAAAGCAAGAGGAGGTATCAAACTGGGGGGGTGGGGGGGTGTTATTTCCACTGTGGTTAGCAGCTCAGGCTGGAATCAAGTCACCGGCAGCTGTCGGTAGAAGCAGCAGAGTCCTCAGGGGCTCGGGGGTGGCAGGCTGGGCCTAACTCGGGGAGACCCCCTTCATAAAGCCAGTGCCTGGGTCCCAGCAGGCTCCCAGAGCATGCCGTGGGAAGGGAGGTGCTGGGTGAGCGTGGTCCCCTGCCTTCACGGCAGCCAGCTCCCCAAAAGGGCCTTTTCATACCCTCGCACACAGGCACATGGGGGCACGAGTCGGCAGCGAGGGCACAGCCCTGCCAGTGCCCCACCAGTGCCCCACCAGTGCAGTGGTTCACAGAGCCTGGGCCAAAAGCCATGCCCTGTGGTGTAGAAGAAAGCAGGACCCCACTGCCTGACCTGGGGGAGGAACAATGGCCCACAAAGCCCTTGGCCTCCCCCCACCTTGACCCCAAACCCCTCTGCGCTCACTGGCTCCAATCTCTTCCGCCCTGGCTGACTGCGAAGGGCCCGTGTCGACCTGTTTACACTCTCTAGGCACTGGCAGGACATTCATTTTTCCAGCTCTGGGGAACTTCCCATGTTCCAGGAGTTGTTAAACATCACCGAAGCCCTCAGCTCAGACAGCTCCTTGGCCCTGATGCCTCAGCGTCTCAGCAAAAAGCAGCCCGTCCAAGAAGCTGAACTCAACCCAGGACTGCCTGATGTAGCAGCTGCGGGGTATCAAATCATAGCATCGTAGAAAATGAGGGTTGGAAGGGACCTCAGGAGGTCACATCTAGTCCAACCCCCTGCTCCAAGCAGGATAAACCCCAGCTAAATCATCCCAGCCACGGTTTTGGAGCACCAGGGTAGGAGCGGTGGGATGGAGCCACTGGCACAGAGCTCACAATGACCCTGTAGGTGCAGGTGGCCACGTCTCCAGGGCCAGGACAGCATGCTTCATCCTGTGGATTCGCAGTGTCTCATTCAGTTCAAAGCTCTGGGCTGCTCCCATCTGCATGGGGCCACTCAGCCATGTCAACCCCAAAGTGGCCCCATGCAGATGGGAGCAGCCTCGAGCCCCTCCAAGAATTAATTCTCCCTTCCCCTCCAGGTCCCTGCACCTCTCAGATGCAAGTGCGGGGGCTCCAGGCCCCACATCCTCCTGTTCCTTTCCCATTGCGTTTGAGTTGGACTATCAGAGCCCAGCTCTCAGGGGCATTGGGAAAACTGGACACCTCCTCTGAGCTGCCCATCATGTGCCCATCCGAGACAGGGAGCTGTTACCGTTCCTTCGCTGTTTGGTTGGAAAGCTCTCTCCAACATAGCCAGGACCATGAAGCTTGGGGTGTCTCCATCACCAGAGGAGGCCTGGGCAGCTGCCTGTGTGGCAGGTAAAGCAGCATTGCACAAACCACCAGGATCCTTGGGTTTCCACAGCTCCATTTCTGGCCTCTGGTCCCGTCTCATTCATGTGAGCCAGCAGTGTGCCCGTGTCGCCAAGGCTAAGGGCATCCTGGGCTGCACTGGTAGGAGTGTTGCCAGCAGACCAAGGGCAGTGATTCTTCCCCTCTATTCAGCACTGGAGGGGCCACATCTGGAGTCCTGCGTCCCATTTTGGGCCCCCACTACAGAAAGGATGTGGACACATTGGAGAGAGTCTAGCAAAGGGCAATGAAGATAGTTCGGGGGCTGGGGGACATGACTGGTGAGGAGAGGCTGAGGGAACTGAGCTGATTTAGTCTTGGGAAGAGAAGACCGCGGGGGGCTGAATGGTGGTTGCACCCTGCAGGGGGGTCCAAAGAGGATGGAGCTGGCCTGTTCTCAGTGGTGGCAGATGACAGAAAAAGGAGCAATGGGCTCAAGCTGCAGTAAGGGAAGTTGAGGTTGGATATTAGGAAAAACTTTCTCACTAGGAGAGTGGTGAAGCACTGGGACAGGTTACCCAGAGAGGTGGTGGCATTTCCATCCTTGGAGATTTTTAAGCCCTGGCGAGACGAAGCCTTGGCTGGGATGATGTAGTTGGGGCTGGTCCCGCTTGGAGCAGGAGGTTGGACTAGATGTGACCTCCTGAGGTCCCTTCCCACCCTCATGGTCTCTGATTCTATGAATAGTTGTTCTCTTTCTTAAACAAAATATTAAATGGATGAGACACCCAACATGGGAAATTTTCAGGCCAAGCCACCTAGGTCTGGCATGGTTTCTCTAAGCAACTGAAAACTGAATCTCAGAATGGCCACCTCACCTGTAGGTGACATGACCGACTCCAGCTGTAATCAGCTATTTCTCTGGTTTAGGCCTCAATAGTCAAGGGAAGCTATGAGTGATTCTCCATGGGTCAGGAGTCACTTAAACCAACCTCTCATCACAGCACTGGTTTACAAGTTTAGGTTAGATATTAGGAAAAGCTTTCTCACGAGGAGGGTAGTCAAGCACTGGAACAGGTTACCCAGAGGGGTGGGTGGCATCTCCGTCCTTGGAGGTTTTTAAGACCCGGGTAGACAAAGCCTTGGCTGGGATGATCTAGTTGAGGCTGGCCCTGCTTGGAGCAGGGGGTTGGACTAGATAGGACCTCCTGAAGTCCCTTCCAGCCCTTATGGTCTCTGATTCCTCGTGTCCACCCCACAGCTCGCAGGGATTCCTGCCACCTCTGCACACCAAGGGACAAGGGATCAGCCCCAGGCTCCACTTACAGCCCACCGGGAAAACCAGGCTTCCCTGCCAGAGAGAGGCAAAGAGTAAGCGCTCTAAGACTACAGGGGATAGGAGGGGGAGGCACTCCCCCGGGGTACCGTTCCCACCCACCACACCCGTGCCCTGTTGGGGCTTCTCCTGGCCCCTGAGGACCATGGGATGGTTGAGGGTGCCCGTAAGGCACTCTGGAAAGGTCACACACCAGGGAGGACACACGGGTGCTGGATGCTTGGGGCTTTATTAGCGGGGTTGACAGAAGCTGGATCTCAGCACGGAGCTGTTGCAGCTGAGGGGTCCCACGCAGGGCACCGGCTCCTCAGCACTGGGGCTGCCTGGGCCGCGATCACCCATAAAAGGGCCGGCACTTCCTTGCGCACCTGGGAAGCGATGGGAACAGAAGCCATGAGCTAGGGCTGGGGAGATGCAGGGACCCTCTTTGTCTCACCTCCATGGGGATGCCCGGGAAAAGGTCACCATGGCGAGTCATAAGGCTTGCCAGAGCTTAGGTCCAGCATGCCCCAGCCCCCGTGTCACACGGGGGCAGAGAGTGGAGGCTGGAAGGGAGAGTGACGGGGGCTGAGCAGGGTGTTTTCCCCCATTCCTCGCTCTCTTGCAGCCTCCAGCATCGAAGGTCCAGGGCGTTCTGATCCAGAGGCCATGCCCTTCACTCCTGCTCGATAGCTTTCCTCCAAGAATGGATCCAACCCCTTCTTCCCCAGGGCCTGGCTCTGCTCTGTGCATGGGGAGGGGTCACCCCTGTGCATCCATGCTGTGCTCCAACGGCCCCGAGCACTGCGGGCCCTGCTGCCCCACGGCCAGCAATAATGGATCAACACCAGTCCTGAGAGGCCCCTCAATCCCATCTCTCCACCCTCTCCCTCCCTCATGCCCACTCCCCTCAGCCCCAGCCCCCATGCCTGCCCCTTAGTGCTCACCGTCTCCTCATCCAAAAATGCCTTGGATGAAACGTTGAACTCTGTGTGATGCTGCAGGAGACATGAGCACGGAGGTAACAGCACAGCCCCTGGCCCCGGCTGCTCCTCCCAGCCTGAGACCCCCTTCCCACCCCCAGACAAAGGCGACAGCACTTGGCTAGCATGCCATTAGGGCCCCAAAGGCAGCTTCGGTCTCCCTAAGCTGAGCTCGGCCTCAGGGATAGCTTCATTTGAATTAAGAGTCCACAGCTGCTATCAACCCCTGGGGATGCGCTGGGGCAGCCATGGTGCTAAGACCCCTGGAGATGCCTACCCTGAGTGAGGCCAGGATCCGCAGGCGGATGGGGGTTACCGCCAGGCTGGGGGTGGGGAGCAGCAACATCCAGCAGAAACCCTGGGAAATGCAGGTCTCCCAGGGGCACTACTCCCTGGACTCCCCACCCTGCCCTGGGGCTCATCCCGTGGCACCCCTGGGAGACCTTGGACATGCACACACTGGCTCCCAGACTCACCTGGGCTGAGAGGTGACAGGGCCGGAGCAGTTGTAGCTGCAAAAGAAGAGGAAGATGGGGATTTTCCATGGGACTCTCAGATGGGCCCAGACCCCAGAGGCACCAGGGGACAAACACAGCCGGGACACGGCTACATGCCACGAGCATTATTGGCATGCTAGCTCAGCAGGTGTGAGACTGGGCCTGGGGCTCAGGGAAATCTCCCTCCAAGACACTTACGGGAACTGTGGCCTGGGTCGGCTGCAGCCAGGGAAGGTGAGGTGCCTGACACACGTGTCACAGCAGAACTGCCAGAGCTTCCACGCCTTCCGGACCCTCGCCGCACTGGGCCTGGGCTTGCCAGGGCAAGGGGTCCACGGGACGCACCCAGTGCTGGTGGAAAGCGTCGAGGTCGAGGCAGCTGAAACGAGAGAGAACAGAAACCGTTTGCACATGCGGCACTTTAAAGGCACCCGGACGCCAGGGAGACCACGGCCCCTAGGACTCGCACCCAGGACTCCCAGACTCACCAGTGCTGGTGGAAAGCGTCGAGGCCGGGGCAGCTGAAACGAGAGAGAACAGAAACCGTTTACACGTGCGGCACTTTAAAGGCACCCGGACGCCAGGGAGACTGCGGCCCCTAGGACTCGCACCCAGGACTCCCAGACTCACCAGTGCTGGTGGAAAGCGTCGAGGTCGAGGCAGCTGAAACGAGAGAGAACAGAAACCGTTTGCACATGCGGCACTTTAAAGGCACCCGGACGCCAGGGAGACCACGGCCCCTAGGACTCGCACCCAGGACTCCCAGACTCACCAGTGCTGGTGGGAGGCATGGTGGTAGTGGTAGGTGCAGCTGGAACAGAGGAGAGAGATGTGATGTGGGGCAGCTGGATCCCCCAGCCCCAGCCAGACCCAGGGGCACTTACATATGGTGTGTGCCAGCGCTTCTATCACACGTCATGTCCCCAACCAGAGCCAGCCTCAGTATCGAGGGAGAGATATACCTCATGGGCCAATGATTAATGGGCCCGCCACCCACACTATTCCCCTGCCTACGTCCCAGCCCTCTCCAGCTGACATGGGCAGGTCCAGTCCAGGCAGAGCCAAGGCCAGGCCAGGGTGTGACATGCAGTGGTTTTACACTATGCTGCCCAGCCCCAGGTATCTGGGGAAACGTTTGTTCACCAGAGCGCCCCAAGGGATGACTAGGTCGAACGGTCATAAACTACTACAAGACCGTTTCAGGTTGGACATAAGGAAGAATTTCTTTACTTTCCGAGCCCCCAAGGTCTGGAACAGCCTGCCGCCGGAGGTGGTTCAAGCGCCCACATTGAACACCTTCAAGAGCAAACTGAATGCTTATCTTGCTGGGATCCTATGACCCCAGCTGACTTCCTGCCCTTTGGGCGGGGGGCTGGACTCGATGATCTTCCGAGGTCCCTTCCAGCCCTAATGTCTATGAAATCTATGCGCTGAGCTCCTTTGGGCAAGGTGCCCGGAGCTACCTTTACCCACCCACGCTAGGTCCCTGGCAGAGGGGCTGGATGGGCTCTCAACCACAACCTCACTTCAAGGAACTAGATGCAAACTCTGATCCTTGCACCTTTTTCGGGCCATGATGGCTACAACAGCATCCCGGCCCTGCTCTCTGTTGCCTCCACCTCCCCCTCTGCCCCCGTCCGAGCACTGAGGCAGTCAGAGTCCCCCTACCTGACACCCCTTTCCCCCACCCAGTGCTCCCTGATCCCCCCAGAGATGCAGTGAGGCTGGCAAAGCATCCTCTGGATTCCCCTGGGGTGGCCGGTGCCCTCCTGGGGGATCACCAGTGCCAGAGATGATTCCCAGCTGCGGGATGGACCCTGGCAGCCACAGCCCTCACCAGGGAGGCCTGGGGAGGGGTCCCTGCTCTAGGTTACGGCAGGACTCAGACTGGGGTCTGAGCAGAGTGGCCTCGGTCTCACCCCCGGCCTTGGGAGGGTCCCATCTCTGCTGCCCTGTTATCAGGAAGGGCTGAATACCGACATGGCGGGATCCTGTGCCTGTGGGTACTTACAGGGGCTGTCAGATTCTGCCGGGATCAGAGTTGCTGGGAGCCCCTTCTCCGGGCACAGTGCTGCGGGGTGCAAGCTGAGATCCCCCCTACCCCCGTGCAAGGCAGGGAAAAAGGAGTGGGAGTTCACTAGCACGAGGGTCAGCCATAGGGGCTGGAATTGGCCCTGTTACTCCCTGCATGCCTTCCTGCTGCCATGTCCCCCAGACTCTGCTCCCTGCCCCATGCTACCCTCCACCTGGCAGGGCAATGGGCCGTACTCACGCCCAACCACCAGGCTGCAGGTGACGCCCGCCAGTGCCAGGAAAACCCAGGGTTTCATCATGGTGAGAGGAGACAGGACAGAGACTTAGGGAGTCTTGTCCAGCCGAGGTGTGCAAGGCTCAGGCTGCACTCGTTGCCTTATATAGGTGCCAGGCACCAATGGGAGGAGCAGGGAGGGCCCCAGGGCACTAACGACTGGGCTAACGAAGGAGGAAACACCTGATGGGTAAACAGCCCCCAGGACTTGCAGTGGAAAGCGACAGTTAGGCTGGATTAGCTGTGTTGGCCCCCTGCCCTGGGGATCTGGATGTCCATGGGTCCCCTTGTCTCCGTGCCCAGGCTCAGATGCCCCTACCACCCCCCAGACACCCCACGCAAGGCCCAGGCTTCGCTCCAGCCTCCCTGGCACACACGGAGGCCACAGGGACCTTCCCCACTGGTCCCCAGCAAGGCCTGTCCCATTCTGCTTGCTCCAGAGGTATAGTCCGGTGGGGGTGCCCAGATCCCGAATGCCAAGAGCCAGCCAAGAACCACACACGACATGGATCTAGTGACGGTCTGAGCATGGCTGCCTGGGTCCAGGCTGGTGTTTAATGCCACAATTGAACTGGAGTCCATGCTCACTGCTGAAGGAGAGTCCCCCAGCCGGGCTCATGCTCATGTGCACAAGTCCAGCTTCTGGGCACCAGGCAATTCCTCCCCTACCCCAGCAGGATCGAGGGTTTCTGGCTGAGCCCCAAGCTTAAATGTCTCCCCTGCCGCTTTCCGCTGCTTCTTGCTCTCAGTCTCTTCATGCAACATCTCAGTCTCCCCACTCTGCTCTCTTTTCCCCCACCCAGTCGCCATGCCCTGTCCCTGGCTTCAGCTGCTCTCCATGCCCATCCCCACCTGGCCTGACCTGCACCAGCCAGGGCTGCGGGCGTAGCCCTGCCCAGGCCCAGGCTAGAGCATCCTCTGGGACCATGTGCATCCCTCCAGGGACCATGTGCAGAACTGGGTTAACTTTCATGGATCAGCAAAAAGCACTTTCTGCTTATAACCTCCCCCAGCCCCACGTGCACCAGCCGTCAAGCAGCTGTAGGCATGAGGGCGCTACAGGACAAGCTGCCAGGAGTTTTTTGTCATAGGAAAAGCAACACAGCTGTAAGCAGGAGGCTTAGCTTACAGAGCTCCTCAGCCACCCCTTCAAAGAAAGGAGCATGGTCTTTGCACCCCACGCAGATAATCAGCCAGCCTCGAACCCCTTTGCCCTTCTCTGGGCAGCCAGAAAGGCTCTTTGGGGCTGGCCCCATCACAGCAACAGGGCAAGCTTGCTGGGGTCACTTTGTCCCCCCTACTGTAAACTGCTCCTGCAGCCAGTCTGCCTCCCTTCCCTCTCTCCTTTTAAGCACTAACCTCAATGACCATGGCTGGGCTTCTCCAACAAGGGCAAGACAACATCCTTCCTAGGCTCGTCCCCCCTGGCAGGGCTGGACTGCTCAGGCTGGGATTGAACAGAGCAAGAATGAAAAACCCCACCCGAGGCAGGCGCTTGGCCTAGCCAAGGAGAGTTAAAGTCTGGTGTGAGCAGCTTAAGACAGGGTCATGGATAGGAGAGAGGCAGCGCTAGGGTTCATCTGCTCCAATGAGTCTGGATCAAGTCAGAGCACTGGATGCAACTCAGCACCCAGCCTGGGGACAATGTAACCCTGCTTGATCCCAAGGCAGCCCCAGATGGGACCAAGGGACAGGATCCGCTGCCACAGACTCCAGGGGATCACTCTGAGAGCCCAGCACATGCCACGTGTGTGTCCTCTGGGAACAGAGCAGCCCCTCTAGTCGCTGTGCAGAAGGTGTCTGGTTCTCTGGGCACACAGAGCGGCTGTGTGCAGGGGGCAAACCTCCCCAGGGCCGGTGCCAGCCCACCCGCGGCCCAGATCCAGCTCTGCCTGAAGGGCCTGATGCCACACACGGAGCCAGAGGCAGGGATTAGCAGGGGAGGGGGGGGTTTGCAGAGCAGGGGCGGAGGTGCTGGGGTTTCTCATAGGTGGGGGAATCACAGTATTTGCCCAGGTTTGGTTGGTGCCTGGAGCAGGTCTGTAAGCAAGCACCCCCCACACCCATGGCAGTTACTGGGGGACCAGCGCCAGCTCGGGTCCAGGCCCAGAGGCAGCGCGGTTCTTGGCTTGCTCCAAGTCCAGGAAAGTGTTTGGGATTTGGACATATCCCAGCCTCCCCCTCCCCTGAACTGCAAACATTGCCCTCCCTCCCCCAGCTAATCCCCTGTTCCGGCTCCAGGGGTGCAAAGCTCTTGGCCTCCAGGATGCGTGCTCCCAGTGCCAAACCTGGCAGGTGGAGCTCAGCCTGGGCAGAGGTGCCCACGCAACTCAAGTGCATCAACCCCTGCCCCGGGCGGGCTGTGCTGTGTGTCCAGGGGCTGGGGCTGGGACCCCGACATCCCCAGTCTGGGGCTGACCGCAGCATTGGAGAAACACAGAAGAGTGCGGAGAAGCCACAAGAAGGATTTGGGGGGACAGGACAGGACAGGACAGGACAGGACAGGCAGGAATGGGGAGAGCGCCGGTGTACAGCTTCTCCGGGGGTGGGTGGAAGTGCCCCTGGGGGACCCTGGTCAGATGTCTCCTCGGGCACTAAAAAACAGGACCCCCGGGCAAGGACAGACACAAGCACTAACTGCTCCACGAGCCCTGGCTGCAGCTCTGCTAGCCGGGGGCATCCCACTGGCCTCTTGTGCTGGGGCCGTGGAGAGCTAGGGTCTGGCCGGGCTTGCACAGCTCACAGCAGGTTTGGCCTGAGTGGGGGTGATGGGCCGTGGCCCACCCCGGCTGTGCAGGCACAGGGTTCCCACGGGGTGTTTTGGGGTGGCTAATGTTCGCTGGCCCTGGTCCCAGGAAGGCAATGCTCCCCATGCATGTCCTAAGGGCTGTTTACCCACCAGGAGTTTCCGCCTTCGTTAGCTTGGTCGTTAGTACCCTGGGCAGCCCCCCCACCCAATGGTGCCTACATAAGGCAGCGAGCGCAGCCCAGGTTACCCCAGGTCCTTCATGCCATGGCTCAGTCCTGTCTCCTCTCCCCATAATGAAGCCCTGGCACTGCTGGGAGCTGCCTGCAGCCTGGCAGCTGGGTGCGAGTTGGGCCCATTGCACCCAGGAGGAGGGGGATACTGGGCGGAGTGGGGGTGCAATGGGGCTGCCTCCAGCCCTGCCCTGCACTGAGCCTCACGCCGGCACATCTCCTTCTCCCACTACAGAGGCAGATCCCAGCCCCACGGGCTCTTCCAATTCCAGTAAGCACCAGCTCCACTGAAGAAAACCAGGCTCATTTCCTATTTCTCAATGCCCATTTCTCAATGTCCATTTCTTCAAGGCACTTCTCATTCCCTGGGCTGGTGCTTCCCTGGGTGGGCAGAGAGGCAGGGCAGGGCCCTGGAGGGCAGTGGGGGCAGGAGGGCTGGGAAAGGCTGGGCTGTGCATGCCCGGATCCTGACCACAAAAGCCTCTCCAGGCCCAGACCTTGGTCCGAACTGCTTCCTTCCTCCTGCGCCCTCCTTTTACCTAGTCCCAATGTCTCCCCCCAGCCCAGTGAGTCTGGACATCTACCCCTGCCTGGACCCTGGGGAGCTTGCACTGAGTGGGGCTGCGGTGGGTGGCATTTCCAATGCAGTTGGGAACTTTTTCTACTTACTGGGGAGGCTGGTGGGCGCTGCAATGGGGCTCTTCTTTGGCCAAGGAAGGGGTGAGCATGGTGGGGCAGGGATGGGAGTGGAGGAAAGCACCTCATGGGCATGGGTTGGCCTCTCAGGGCTGGAATCACTGGGCCTGATCCAGCCGCACCGGCTTCATGAGGGGCCACAGGGCAACCGGTGTCGTCAGAGAGCCGCGTGGATGGATAGACATGTCAGCAGACCACACGGTGCCCCTGGCAGGGAGCATTCAGGTCCCCCAGGCTGAAGCAAGGCATGCACCCCCTCCACCAGTCCCGGGGTCTGGGTGCAAGAGATGCTCCCACCTGAGCATGCTGCTCCTGCACACCAAGGGCTGAGCGAGCGCTGTGCCCCTCAGGTGCTTGGGTTGGGGGTTGCATGAGATTGTCCCCTTCCTGGCACAGAGCAGAGCCAGGCTCTGGGCACTGCCATGGTGGCCCTGTCCCGGGCTTTCCCACAGTGGCAGGGCACAGCCAGGCCCCGTGTCTCGCTGGTGACAGCCCAGCTCATGGCCTCTGTCCCACTGGTCTCCAGGTGCTAAAAAGCCGGAGCCTGGTGTGGGATCCCTCGGCCCCTTCAGCCCCCATGACCGCTCCATACCAATATGCAGCCCTGCCAATATAGCCTGAAGTGAACGATGTCTGCCTGGTTCTCAAGCCAAGAGTGCCGGCCGCCAGCCCCCGCATGGGACCTGGGGGCTGCCGCCTGCCCCAGGCAGCTCAGAGGGGTGATGCTGCCAGCTGGCAAGACGCAGCTTGGTGCCCACCCCTCCCGGCCTGGCGAATGCCACCCTTATGCCACACATGACTGCAGGCGTGCCCAGACTCTCCTCTCTCCGGTGCCTTTATTTACAGTGTGCAGGGGCTGGGCCCAGGCGGGGCTCCAGCCAGCCTAGTGTTGTGCTTTCCAAAGTGCTAGTGCCACCGTGACCGTCCCCCTGGGGTACACGGGCTGGGGCAGGGACCTCTGTATATCCTGGTGTGGGAGCCAGCAGGGGATACACCAGAACTGGCAGCTAGAGCTCATGACCAGAAACACAGAGGACAGAGCCTTTGGGGCTCTCGCGGGGGACGGGGACCCGCCAGGCAGGTGGAGCGTGCGGCTGGGATCTTCCTCTCTCAGCTGGGGGTCCTGCCCCTACACCGCCTGCCCCGGGGGCAGCAGGGGATCCGTGAGCTGGGCCGTGGGCGTCCGCCCGGGCGCTGGCTCCTCCACGAAGCCACTGCTGTCGGAGCGGGAGCTGGTGGCATGCAGCATCAGACCTGGAGCAAAGAGATACGCGCTGGCACCGAGCACCTCTCGCCTGGGCTCTGCCCCCGGCATAGCATGGGGTGGGCCATGCTATGTGCTTTCAGGCCCCACTGGGCTGGATACAGGGTCTGAACCCTGGTTTGAATAAGTCCTATATCTCTGTGACCCTTGCGGCTTGCAGCTGGGGGGGGAGGGGGACGACCCTGCCTGGACATCCCAGGAGCAAGCTCTTCGGTTCCTAGGGGGTGGAGAGATGGGGAGTGTCTAGGCCCAGCAGCCTCGGGACGGGACCCCCATTGCCCACCCTGCAGGCAGACCCCATGCCAAGCAAGGCTGCCACCCCGCACTGGGGCTTCCTGCCCACTTACGTTTCCGAGGCTCCACGAGGGCCGGAGCAGAAGGGTCGGCCTCCGCCGCGGGCGCGTCTCCCTCGTCCTCACTCGCACTCGGCACCTGGAAGCAAGAAGCCACAGGGCTGGGTGCGGGGCAGGGCAGGCGACAGGAGGGTCTGCAGATGGCAGGGCCCAACCTGAAGGGCTGCTGGTGCTGGAGGGGACTGGGGGTACCATCCAAGGGGGCTTGGTGGGGGGTGCCCACATGTATCAGTATATGCTGGGGTGGGGGGAGCCTGTGTGCAGGGCAGGGTGGGCAGTGCCCAGCCCTGCCTGGGAAATGCTTCTATGAGGACAGACACCCTCAAGCCCCCAGAGACCCCCCAGCCATGGAGGGAGACCAGCCCCACTGGAAGCCATGACTTTAAAGCCTTAAATCACTCGTCCCCTTCAGCCTGAATCACTGCTAACACACCGGGGAGATTTACCGCTCCAGATCCCGCGGCCTTCGTCCTCGGCTGACCTGTGCCAGGGACTCTCCCAGCACCTCTCCAGCTCACCGCTCTCCCCACACCCCCTCTATCCTGCCTCCTTGGTCAGGGCTGGCTCTGGGCTACCAGGAGGGACTGTCCCCACATTCATCCCATGATAGGGCACCACTGAGAGCTGGCATTGGCCATGGCTCCCACCCAGGCACCATGGCTCAGGCCTGGGGGAGACGTGCCAGCTCCTCGGGCTCCAGTGATACTACCCACCTCTTCCATTTCGAAGGACTCCGCCATCGGGAGAGACGGCTCTGGCACCCAGAGGGCACGGCCACCTGTGGCACATGATGCCGGAGTCTCCCCCCAGGAGGGCATGGCCACCTCCTGGGCTTGGGGACAGGCTGGCTGGCCCCATGAAGGTTTGTCCTCTATCTGCCACCGGTCCTTGCTCAGAAAGCCCCCACCGGCGTCAGCTCCTGGCGGGCCCCACAGGGCAGGCATGAGGCCTGAGTGATCCCAGCTGCAGGTGTCAGGCAGCATACCCCCTCCGTGGCCTTCTCTGTGCCCCCATGTCCTCCTGCCAGTGTCTGTGGCCTCGTGGCACAGTCCGGGCAATGGGGCAATGCTAGCCCATGGAGCGGCACTGCCCAAGTTGATCTTCTGTCCTGCAGTGCAGCCTGGGGTGTCCCGGTAGCCTGAATCACCCAGCTCCTCCACGTGTCCCCAGTCTGTGCCGGCCACAGGTCCCACGGGGTCCCAGTGCAGCCCCGACACTGCAGGGAGCCTGCTCTTCCCTGATGAAGGAGCTGGGGTGGCCTCGCCTCCATGGCAGAGAGGCAGTGAAATATCCCCAGCCGTTGGCTCTGCCCTGCAGGGGCCCTGGCACCAGCTCAGGGACCCCTTGGGTGCAGCCCACTTCATGCCTTCTATGTTGGCTCGGTCGAAGCAAAACCACCTCTCCCGGGTCCTCTCCATCACCTCCTGCACCACTTGGCCCAGGCTGCTGCGGCGGCACCCAGCGTCTCCGCCAGGCGACTTCTCGGCCTTGGGCGAGGTGTACAGGCACATCTTGGACACGGCTTTCTTGAGCCGGTCTACAGGTGACAGGGCCTCCGGCTTGGCCGGGACCACCCGCAGGTCGGGGATGTCCGTGGAGGCCCAGAAAAAGCGGGCGGGTGAAATCTTCTGCACCGGGGTCTTCGAGACGTAGGAGTAGAGGCAGAAGAAAGCGTCCGCTGTCACGGCCAGTGCCTGCACCTGCTGAAACCGGCCTGGAGCAGGGGGAGAGGCAGGTCAGGGGTGCAGGGTCCCTGGGTTCCCACAGGTGGGGAAACTGAGGCACGGCATTGTCCTGCCCCAGGCTGCACAGTGGCAGAGATGGGAGTCCAGGGGCCAGTTCTAACCCCTGGGCATCACCCCCCGCTGCCACTGAGACCCAGGGCTTGCCCCCCAGCCGGGCAGATGGGTCGCTTACTAGCCAGCGTCAGGCAGGGATCCTCCATCTCCATGCGCTGCACTTGGGCCTTCAGGAAGAGCTGGAAGTCGATGCCCCGGGCCTGGGAGGGAGCAGCGAAGAACCGGGCGGGGATGCGGGCCGCGGCTTGCAGCTCGTCCTGCACGAAGCCCAGGTTGTAGAGGATCTCCTCCGCGTCCTCCTGGCACCTCTCCAGGATCTCCGTGATGCTGGGGGGGGAGCACAGCCAGGGGCTGGGACTATGGACCCCCATAGACTGTGCCCGTGGCCACGCACCCCGCTGCCCACCCCTCTCCACCCACCATGCCCACCCCCTCCATCCTCCCACCATGCCCACACCATGCACAGGCCATGCCCTGCCCTGCATGCTATACTAGGACCCTGGCCTTCCACATGCCATCCCTGCCAGGACCCACAGCCCACACCGTGTCCAGCCTTGCACCTTTGGGGCTGCATGCCCCGCACAGCCCTGCCTCCAGCCTCAAGGCCCTACCTGGAGCTGGTCTTGTTGGTACCAGTGGAGAGCGCGCTGGATGCCATGCTCTGCCCAAGGTGGAGGTGTCGCTTGGCCCAGGGGCTCTCCAGCAGGGCCCTGCCAGGGGAGAGCCAAGGGGGCACATGTCACAGAGAGCACTGCCCCCTTCCCACCCCAGACTGTGAGTGGAGGGCCCAGACACTCACCGGCCAGAGGCTCTGTCATTCCTCGGAAGAAGCAGAGCTGGAAAGAGACGGAGAAGCCATGAGCAAGAAGGGGTTCTTGTGTCCCCGAAATCCCAGCAAGTAGCTCCCGGGGGCTGCATGGGGCAGGGGCCGGTCCCTGCAACAGCAAGGCGCTCACCAGCCCGGGGAGAGCAAGCAAAGGGGAGGGCAGTGGGGCTGGGTTGTGGGATTGAACTGATAGAGGCTTGATTATCATAATTAAAACTAATTAGCAGCCTCAGGGTAGCTGTTAGCTGGAGGACTAGGGGGCCTGGTAGGAGGCAGCATTTGGAAATGCAATTGCAACCCAATGGGTGTCAGGGGAGTTGACTACTTTGGTGCCAGCTCCTCCTGTGCGCCCGGGGGGTGCCCACGGCTGGACAGGAAACCCCGCGCTCTCCCGGCTGTGAATCAGGCCACGGAGGTCACACGAAGCTGCTATGCGGCAGTGAAGCTCAGTGCCCGGGGGTCTGGGCCTGCCCCAGTGTGGCCGTGACCCCAGTGCCGGGCAGGTGTGAAACGGAGCAGGCCTGGTACCTTCTGCCCCCAGTGTCAAGTCGTCTTCAAAGCTGGTGACATGGCTGCTACCTCCTGCAAGAGAGAGAAGACGGGGTCGGTGTGGGAAGCCAAGCCAGGGGCTGGGGGCTCCCCCTTGTGCTAGAAGCCAGGACCCCCTCCCAGCCCCACAGCACTAAGCCACAAGTCAGGCTGCGTGCCTTGCTGATCTGTCCCCTCCCGCCGCGACCCCTTCCTCACTGGGCCGTCGGGGACCCCAGTTTTCAGCTCTGTCTGAATCAAGGCCTGAGACTGACTCACGTGCCCCCAAGACAGCCGGGCAGGGAAGACCCCAAGCCACCTACCATAAGGGCCAGGCACGCCGAGCTCTTCGGCGGGGTTCTCCATGGATGACCTGTGTCTAAAAGACCCAAGGATCAGCACCAGCCCTTCCAGCCTCCACCCTGCCCCTTGCACCCCTGCTGTGGGCCACGGTCCCCTGTAATCCTGCTGTCTGCATGGCCCCAGGGGCACAGACACGCAGCAAGACCCCCAAGCCCCAGGGTCCTTGGATGGGGGGCTGACAGACAAGAGGGATGGACTACATGTGACCTCCCCTGGGTGGGCTCGACCAGCCTGGCTGCTCTTTCGTGGGATCTGCCTGGATTCGCACCAGCCCCCGGGAGGTCAGAGCCAGGGTCCCAGCCATGCCCGCTCCTCTGTCCCAGGCATCCAGCTCCCCATGGAAGTACCAGACCCCTGTCTCCCCCAGAGGACTGCCAGGCCCCCGACCTGTGGCTCCCTGCCACCTGCCAGCCGTGCAGCAGGACTCACCCACAGTCCTGAAGCCAGGTCTGGATCTTGCTGGATGAGCTTCCTGCGGAGGCAGAGAAAGGCCCAGGGGGGTGAAGCAGACACACACACATGCAAGCACATGCAGGCACTGATACACCAACATGCACAATTCCATGTGTGGGCACATGCATGCATGCATGAAAACCTGTGGGCACACAGGTGCACACATGCAGGCACAATTGCACATACTTGCAGATGATAGGTGCACACATACGAACAGATGCATATGCAGGCACAATTACATGCACCCACACCTGCACACACACACATGTGCACACGCATCCCCACATGCATGCACAATGACATGTGCGCACACACGCACGCACACACATTAATACATGCATACACACATGCATGTGCACACTTGCACCATGACAGGTGCACACACATGAACAGATACAGAGGCAGGTGAAATTACATGCTCCCACACATGAATACACACGTGCATATGCATGTCCCCACATGCACGTACCAATACATGCATACACACATGCATGTGTACACACGCCCAATAACAGGTACGCACACATGAAAAGGTGCATATGCAGGCACAATTACACGCACCCACACACACACATCCCCACATGCATGTACAAGGACATGTGCACACATGCACACACACCTGTATGCACTACTACATGCATACACACATGCATGCGCACACCTGCACAGTGACAGGTGTGCACCCATGAACAGGTGCACATGCAGCCACAATTGCACATACCCACCCCCACATGCACACCCCCACATGCTGCACAATTACATGTGCATACACACCCATGCACATGTGCACATGCAGCCACCATGACACATGGCACGTGTGCCCACATTTGCCCCCTGCTGCTCTCCCACCTTCCAGGAAGACATCGTCCAGGTGCGGGGGCTGCAGTTCGGGGGCATCTTGCATGGCAGCCGCGGCCTCGTCCTCCACCACGGTGGTGCGCCAGCACCGGCTCTGCCGGGCCCAGGCCCGCCGTTTCTCCCAGGAGGATGGGCTCAGCACTGATGGGCCCTCCATAGCCGGCTGTGGGCACTGGGGGCTCCTGAGTGCAGGCAAGGTCCTGAGGGGAATGAGAAAGCAGTGAGCCCCTCCAGGTTGCATCCACATCCCTGCTCATGTCCCGTGGCTGGGGCACATGGGGTCCAGAGCTGCCCAGGAAGGAGCCAGCAGTGGCTCTCGTCTCCGTGGGGATCATGGGCACAGCCAGAGCAGAGCCCATTTCACTGCCAGGCAGCTGGGCACCACCTGGATCCTGCCTGGTCCCCCCCAGAGGAATTGCTCAGGCTGTGGGCCCTGTGATGAAGAGCCACATGTCAGGAGGCTAGAGCCAGGGCCGTGGTGTCTGAGAACTGAGGGGGCAGAGCAGCGAAGAGCAGCGCGGCCTGGCAGTCGGAGCATTATTGCCCACTGCTCTGGGGCTGGGCAGAGCACAGGGCCTGATATGTGCGAGTGAGGTGGTCGGAGAGACGGGAACCTCGCCAGCAGAAGCAGGACACTGTCACGCCTTGGGTTGATCCCTGCAGCCAGCCCATTCGTGGGTCCTTAAGCTGAACCACCCGGAAAGGACCCCCAGCCCCTCTTGTCCCTGCCCATGGGGATGGGCACAGAGCCGCATGCTCCTACAGCCCAGCAGGACGGAGGAAGGGGAGGCCAGGGGATGTGGTGCACAGCCCGGGAGAGCCTGTGGAGGTCTGGGCTCAGCCCCCTGCACCACCCTGGCCCGGACACTACTGTGACCACAAGGATGCAGGGTGGGGGGGATGGAGCCGCAGGGGAAGGCGTTGGCAGCTGTGATACGGGCAGGGGGAAGTGCTGCGGTGGCCCCAATAGCTCCTGCAATGGAGCTGCAAGGTCCTGGCTCGCACAGGTCCAGGGGAAGGCTGCTCTGAGGCATCCCTGCACCCAGCAGGGAAGGGCCTGGCCCAGAGCCCCGTCACCCCCACTGACACAAGGGGGTGAACATAGGCTAGGACGGAGGGGCACTGGCAGGGCTAGGCAGGCGCCAGGCTGCAGCATGAAGCAGTCAGGCCATCTGCCCGGGAGAGGGGCTGGGGTCTGGGCAGCTGCTCCTCCAGTCCCACAACCCACCACCAAGGCCCCTCTATGGCTAGACCTCCCTGGAGGAGGGGGGCACCGTGCACCCCATCCCCAGGAGGCCAGAGAGCGGCTGCCCACCCCTGCAGGGAGTAGAAAACCGTGCCCCCCGCCCACCCTGGAAATTCCCGCTACATGACAGCCCTGCAGAACCCAGGGGTCCGGGGCAGGGCCGGTCCAGCCCGGTGCACCAGCTGCAGCTCCCGAAACTGCTGCCAGTGCCCTACAATGTGAGCAATACCGCTCATCTCTCACGTGACCCTGTAACATCCCCTTTTTCCAGGCTGCTGGGTCCCATCATAGAATTGGTGAACGTGAGGGTTGGAAGGGACCTCAGGCGGCCACATCAAGTCCACCCCCCTGCTCCAAGCAGGACCAGCCCCAACTACATCATCCCAGCCTGGGCTCTGTACACCTGGGTCTTCAAAACCTCCAAGGATGGAGAGTGCACCACCTCTCTGGGGAACCTGTTCCAGTGTTTTACCACCCTCCTCATGAGAAAGTCCTTCCTAATAATCAACCTCAACTTCCCTTGCTGCAATGTGAGCCCATTGCTCCTTGTTCTGTGTTCTGCCCCCACCAAGAACAGCCCAGCTCCATCCTCTTTGCAACCCCGCTGCAGTGAGCTGAAGGCTGCCATTAAATCCCCCTCGGTCTTCTCTTCTCCAGACTAAATAAGCCCAGTTCCCTCGGCCTCTCCTCACACGTCCTGTGCCTCAGCCCCTGAATGATTTTCCTTGCCCTCCACTGAACTGTGTTCAATGCGTCCACATCCTTTCTGTGGAGGGGCCAAAACTGGACGCAGGACTCAAGATGTGGCTTCACCGATGCTGAATAAAGGGGAAGAGTCACTGCCCTTGATCTGCTGGCACCGCTCCTACCAGTGCAGCCCAGGATGCCCTTAGCCTTCATGGCAACACGGGCACACTGCTGGCTCCTATTCAGCTTCCTGTTCACTGTAGCCCCCAGGTCCTTTTCTGCTCCCGGCCTGATCCACTCAGCACTGGGGCTGGGAGTCTCTGAGGATCTCAGCCCTGAGTGGCAGCATCTGGATGGCCTCTGTCCTGCTTCCCGGCTCAGCTGGTGTAAAGGCCCCCGGCGGAGGCAGGCAGAGGGGAGCGTGGGGTCTCTGACTGCCCGCTGCAGGGAGGACAGGGGATGCTCCAGGCTGGGGGGCAGAGGGGGTGCAGGATGCCTGGCTGATGCCATTAAAGACACAGAATCCACTGATAAGCGAGGACACTGAGTTCCCCCCCATATATGCAATCACCTGGTTCCACACCAAACAGTACACCAACCACAGGAGAATGGCTGTGGCCATGCGTACTGTGAGCCAGCGAGTCCAGATCTCGGGTCCAGCACAGCCATCAGCCTTCAGCACACATCCTGGCAGCCTGAGGGCTCTAGGCACGGCCCTCGCCGCCACCCCCCAGTGCCCGGGCCCACAGTGCTTCATGGTGGCTGCTGCAGTGAGACTTGGATGCAGCCTGGACATGGCAGGTTCAGGCACGGAGATGCCCTGTCCTATGTTTAAATTGATCATAGCCAAGTCCAGACCTTCCTGGGGGACCTTTCTGGCCAGGGACACGCGGGCAATGGGACGCTATCCACAGGGGTCGTGGCAGGGTGCCCCCAGGGCCTCATTGCTCACAATGGGGGCAAGTGCCCTGTTTGGCCGGCACAGCACAAAGTCAGCGCTTGGGGCCGGAGCCGAGCTGGCGGTGCAGAAAAGGCTCCTCTGATCTGGAGAGTCCAAGGGGACACCGGTCTCTCCGATCTGACCTCAGCACCAGGTTGGGACATGCACCCGCTGCCCAGATCCCGGGCCCTGGGGGTGGCTGTGGCCTCCTCCAGAGCTCTGCAGAGCAGTAGCGACGGGGAGGCTGGTTCCCGAGCTCCAGGCAGGAAGGGGAAGTACATTGAAGAGCTGGCCAAGGTCCTTCCTTCACTCCCGCCGGCGTCTGGCTGGGCTCTCGTCCCGGGGCAGAGTTTGTAACCCCCCCAGCCAGCACTGCAGCACAGCCAGGAGCTCGTTCCTGGCTCCTGGGGGAAACCCAGGGGCCGTGCCCTCCCCCACCCCCGTGTGCCTATGTAGGGGGTCCCAAGACAAATCTCTCCAGCCCCGGGAACAGTGAGCCAGAGGCTGTCACCCAGCATGGGGGGTGTTTCACTAGGTCCATCCAGGGCAACAGTGTGGGAAACCTCATCTGAAAATCCCACAGCCAAGCTTGGAGCAGCCTGCCCCCACACCCCCGGCATTGGGCTCTGGCTCCCGGAGGGGTGCTTTGGGCGCAGGCCGAGAGAGAGGCCACGTGGTGAGCCTGGGCCAGGGCTGTGCCGGGGGCAGAAACTGGGGCGGGATTCAACCTGTTGCAGCCAGGAAGCCCCGCGGGGCTGGTGCACCAGGGAGGCTGCCGTGGCCCCGGGCTTCCTCTCATCCTCCGGAGCAAAAAGGCCAGGAAGGAAATTTCCTTGCCGGGTCTCTCCCACCCCACCTCGCCCAGCCAGGGTCCCAGGGCTGTCTCACCATCCACCGCCAGCTCTGTCTTCTGCCCCCTTGTCCCCAGGCCGAGCCCCAGGTTCCTTCGCTTCCCCCAGCCCGCTGGCGCTCAGAGCAGGTGCCACGGCGGACATGGCGGGTGGCTTTGCAGGGGCCACACTCACTGGGATGCAGGGCGCCAGCGTGGCCAGGGTCGGCGGGAGGAGGATTCGCTAGCCGGGGTCCTTGGCGCAGCACGGTGCCGTGCGCCTGCCAGCCCCCGCTGCGCCTGTCGTCATCAGACAGGGAGGAAGCCACGCTGTTGTGAAGAGGAAATGAAAAAAAATCAACAATGAGACCTCAAACGTTGGCCCACATCCGCTGCCACGACGGGAAAAAACTCAATGAGCTGCCCACGCTGGCCCAGCAGCTAATTATAGCCCAGCCTTGCTGTAGTGCAGGCGCCGGGGGCAAGCAGGGGAGTGAACCCCGGGTCCTGACTCTCTGCTCCCCCAGGCCACGCTCAACCCCTTGGGCCCAGCTGAAATGAGTCCCGGCTCCGTGCCATGCTCTCCCTCCATCAGCAGCTGGGGAGGGGAAACTGAGGCACACCAGTTGGTGGCAGGGCTAGGAGGGAAACCCTGTGCTCCTGGGTCCCATCTCATGACTCGTGCTCAGGTTCTGTCCCCGTGTCCTGACCTCTGTGCCAGAGCGGGGCTGAGCCTGGATGCCAGGTGCCATGGGGCAGAGAGCTGGGTCCTCAAGTCCGGCTGGCAGAGAGGCCCCTCCACCCGCACCCCGGCTTTGCTCAGCTGCTCCCATCAGAGCCCGGCCTGGGGAGAAGGGATCAGAGGGAGTCATGCAGATGGACGCCTGGCCCCCATGGCAGCAGGACGTGGCCGTGACCTTGCTGGCCCACCAGCTGGATGCCTGCCACGGCGTGAGAGCAGGGCAGCACAAAGAGATGCAGCATCTCTGTGCCTGGCCACAGCTGCACTGGATTGAGATGGGTCCCCAAACCGGTTGGGTCACAGATGCGTGTGTACCGGAGCAGGGGGTTTCGATGAGACTCAACCAGAAACTCTCGCTTTCTCAAGGCAAGGCTGAGCCAAGAGGCTGCAGAGGCGGCAGGGAGGGCAGGGCCTGCTTGCTGATGAATGTGGGTGCATGAGCATGGGGACCCAAGGGACTTAGGGCCACGCACAGTCGTCTGGCCCCAGCCTCTAGTGACCTGGAAGTGGAGAGGCCCAGTCATTGTTTTGGACGTCAGGGCTTCATTATGCACCGCAGCTTCCCAGAGCCGTCCACAGGGCCAGGCATGGAGACACCAGCCCAGAGCATCACCTGCTCTACCCCGCCTCGCCCACGCAGCCAAGGCCTCGGAGCGGCTGGGCGTGGGCGGCACTGCTGAGCTGTGACAGTGCCAAGCCATGCCCACGCCTGGCCCCGTGCAGCCCCAGCCGGGATGCAAGCTGTGGGCAGACTCCCAAGACTGGGGACCTTATCCATCCTGGGGTCCCGAGACCCCAAAGCCAGGGGGCCTCAGCTTTAGCTCCCCGAAGCACATCATAGTTTCATAGTTTTAGGGTCGGAAGGGACCTAATAGATCTTCTAGCCCGACCCCCCGCCAGGGCGGGAGAACAACAAAAGAACCCTAAACAAAAAACAGGACTCAAATGAGTCCAGCCAGGTAAGTATCCAGCCTCTTCTTAAAGATCCCCAGGGTAGGGGCCAGCACCACCTCCCTTGCAAGTTGGTTCCAGCTCCTAGCCGCCCTAACTGTGAAGTAGTTTTTTCGGATGTCCAATCTGTACCTCCTCTCCATCAACTTGTGCCCATTACTCCTTGTTATGCCAGCGGGGGCTAGGGGAAACAGCGTCTCCCCCAAACCCTTCTGGTTCCCCCTAGTGAGTTTATAGACGGTCACCAGGTCCCCCCTCAGCCTTCTCTTGTGGAGGCTGAATAGGTTCAAGTCCCGCAGTCTCTCACTGTAGGGTCTGCCCTGTTGTCCCCGGATCATGCGGGTGGCCCTCCTCTGGACCCTCTCCATGTTGTCCACATCCCTCCTGAAATGGGGCGCACAGAACTGGACACAATACTCCAGCTGCGGCCTGACCAGCGTCGCATAGAGGGGGAGGATCACCTCCCCGGCTCTACTCGAGATGCACCTGTGGATGCACGACAAGGTCCGGTTAGCCCTGCCGACCATGACCTCGCATTGTCGGCCCATGTTCATCTTGGAGTCAATAATGACACCAAGATCCCTTTCCGCCTCCGTGCTCTCAAGTAGGGAGTTCCCCATCGTATAAGTGTGCTGCTGGTTCCTACTACCCAAGTGCAGCACCCTGCACTTGTCCGTATTGAAACACATCCTGTTCCTGTTTGCCCACCCCTGTAACCTATCCAGATCCTTCTGCAATCTCTCTCTCCCTGCTAGCGTGCTCACCTCCCCCCAAATTTTGGTGTCATCAGCGAATTTAAACAGGTTGCTTTCCACCCCAACATCAAGATCGCTGATGAAGAAATTGAACAGCGCAGGCCCCAGGACCGAGCCCTGGGGGACTCCACTACCCACCTCCCCCCAAGTCGAGTATGATCCATCCACCACCACCCTCTGAGTGCGACCCTTCAGCCAATCTGCAATCCATCTGACTGTGTAGGCATCTATGCCACAGTCGCCTAGTTTATTAATTAGGATGGGGTGAGAGACGGTGTCAAAGGCCTTGCTGAAGTCCAGAAAGACTACATCCACCGCGACACCTGCGTCCATGGCCTTTGTGACCTGATCATAAAAGGCAATCAGGTTGGTCTGACATGATCTCCCCCTAATAAATCCATGCTGATTGCCCCTGAGCATCATCTCGGATGCCGGCCCATCACAAATGTGCTCCTTGATGATCTTCTCAAAGAGCTTCCCCAGGATTGAGGTAAGACTGACGGGCCTATAATTGCCCGGGTCCTCCCTTTTCCCTTTTTTGAAGATGGGGACCACATTAGCTACCTTCCAATCGTCTGGCACCTGGCCCAAGCACCACGATCGCTCGTAGAGCCGTGCCAGGGGCCCTGCAATAACCCCAGCCAGCTCCCTCAGCACCCTGGGGTGGAGAGCATCCGGACCCGCTGACTTGAACGCGTCCAGCCCCTCCAGAAGCTCTCTAACCCGGTCCTCCCCAACCTGAGGTCTGAAGGTGATCCCCTCGCGTCCGGCTTCTATCACAGCAGGGAAGTCCCGGTCCCTGCACAAGAAAACGGAGGTGAAGAATTGGTTAAAGAGGTCCGCTTTATCCTCTGACGCAACCACCAGATTGCCCTGCATATCCTGCAGGGGCCCCACATTACCCGGCGCCTTCTTCATCCTCCCAATATATTTGAAAAAGGACTTTTTGTTATCCTTAATCCTGGACGCTAATCCGAGCTCTATATCCGCCTTGGCCTTCCTAACAGCCTGCCTGCAGGCCCGAGCAGAGGAGCAGAGGAACATCCAGATGCACATCCAGATGCCCGGAAAGTTTTTCCTGATTGTCTTCTCAGCAGAAGACCAGAGAGAAGCTGCTTGGGGCTGTTCGGGCCCAAACTGGTGGCAGTAGTAGGCTGTTTTCCCCTTGACGGGGCTGAGCAGAGGCTGAAGCTGGGCGGAGATGCCCGGAGCAGGAATCTTGCAGGAAGATCGCGGCTCTTGGCCTGGAGCTCAGCGCCTCTTCCATCCATCCTCCTTGCATCAATTATTCAAAGCCACGAGCAGGGCAGGGCAGGCCTGGCTGTCTGCAGCAGCAGAGGGGAGGTTGCATGGGGTCTGCTGTAAACCCATGTCTGGTTATTTCTGGGGCCCTCTCAGCGCTGGATCCTCTGGGAGGATGATCCAGGGCAATGCATCAAGCAGAGCAGACAGGGGCTGTGGGACAGGTTGTGGGGGGTGAGCTGGATGCTGCTGCTTGGGGGGAAGGGAAAGGCCGGCTTGGGGCTGAGAGGTGAGCTGTGCTGTCCCATAGGCTGTGTGGACATGGGAGCACACGCGGCACCAGGCTTTCCCCACTTCCTCCTGCCTCTGGGTGCATGTGTGCATGCATGCACATGTGTGTTCCTGCCGTGCTGGGGGATCCCGGGGCTCTGGGCCCCACAGGACCTAGCGGCTGCGTGAAGATGCCCTGGTCCCAGGTTGCAGGGGTGGGGACCATGCGGGTGCCGTAATGGTGGGGACAAGGCCCCTACCCCACCCGTGCAGCAGACCCTGCAGCTCAGTGACCTATTTAACTGAGCGGTGATGGCATGTGAGAGGCCCCAGCCTCGCCGCCGCATGAATAAGTGATGGGCCAACGCTGGCATGCAGGCTCCTGCAGGGCCCTGATGCCCCATCTCTGAGCCAGAGCAGGCTGGGCTGCACCGTGTACCCGGCAGCCCCCTGACCCCCAGGCTTGGGAGGCTATCACTTGTCCCAGGGCTTCCCCAGTGTCCCACAGAGCTGGGGACCCCACCGACAGCCTGGGGGAATGAAGCTGCTTCCCTGACCAAGCCCAGCCCACCCTAGACACTGCCTCCTCACCTCTCACTTCCCCCTGCCCAGCCCCTGTGGGCCCAACCCTTGCCACTCTGGGCACCAAGTAAAGCCTGATTTATTCTTTATTGGTGCCTGTGCAACCACTGAAAGGCACTAGGTCAACCCCCATTCATTCCTATGGGAGGATGACCTGGTGTCTGATGGAAAATTTTCTATGTCTTCCTGCTACCCGGAGGGGCTGTGAGGACTGCCCAGGCCCCAAGTGATGGAGCCACACAAGGACATGGGCTGGCAGCATTGGAGCCTGGACTGTGAGCTGCCCGTGGGGCTGAGCACAGCTCTGTGCCATGTGCAAGGAGTGTAGGGCCCGGGTGCACCTTGGCTTGGCAGCTGGGCTGAGACTCACGATTGCTGGGGGATTTCTCAGCACTGCATGTGCCTAGCCTGGCTCACAGCAGCTCCATGGGCATAGGGCTATGTCCGTCCACCATGCCGTGGCCTCTGCAAGCTGCCGGATAACAGACATATGCAGATAACCAGGTTGGGATTTGAGGTGGGACAAATGGCTCCAGCATCCTGCACAGACAGACCCTCTCCAACCCTTTCCCCCGCTGCTCCAAGGGGCCAGCCTGGCTCTCCAGGACCCCAGCTGGTGGCCTTTCGGCTCTGCAGGGGCTGGGATTTGGAGCCTGCCTCAGACAAGAGTATGAGACAGAGCCAAGGAAGGAGACACAGTGATGGTTATTCTCCCAGGGGCTCTGGGTCCTCTTGTCCCCAGCAGCTCTGGGTTTCTAGCGGGGTCCAGTGACAGTGAGATGCTCCCAGTTCCCCACTGGCTCTGGGTGGGGAACTGGGCATCACCTGGCACCCAGCACGAAGTCTCATTGCCACCTGGGCACTGCTGGGGCGTGAAATCCAGACATGTACAGGGAAGCCACGAATCAGATCCTAACACCGAGGATCCTGCCAGCACAGGGAAGGCCCCATGGCTCTGCCCAGCCCTGAGATGCTGCTGGCTCGGGGGTGGGATTCTGGGGACACGGAGGCAGGCAGGGGACAGCAGAGCTGCCTCAGCCCTCACTCCTTGCCTCTCATTTGGAGCTGGGCACAGCCACCTCAAGGCAGCGCACGCGCGTCCTGGACTCCGGCGTCCTTGCCCCGGGCTAGACGCTGTCCCTGTCACTCCGAGGGCACAGCCTGGATTGGATGTGTCCCCAGGGGAGTCTCTGCACTGGACCCCAGTGCTGCAGGGCTCAGCCCTGAATCCCTGCTGAGGGGACTCCAGGCAGTCTCTGCTTCCCCCCACCAGCGAACGGGCCCTGGGGCAGGGGCCTGCTGCTCTTTGGCACTGATAGAGCAGTTTTCCAGCTGCCCCAGTGGTGCTTTGGCCCTGATGCAGGGGCTGTGAGGGCCTCCCCCTCCCCCTTTGTGCTATCAGTGATGCACCAGCTGAGCCCATCCACGCAGACGGGAACAGCGGAGGAGGAGCACTGCATCCAAAGCCCCTAGCCCAGGCGCCAGCCTTTCCTCTCCCCTCTCCAAGCAAGTGCAGGGAGGGTCTGGCCTTCCCTGTATGGGCAGCCAGCCCAGGAGGAGCTGCCAGGCCACCGCAGTGTTTAGGTCAAGATGGCGCGTTCCCTGTTCCGGTAGATCTGCCCGGGGAGGAAACACCTGGGCAGGAACCGGAGCAGGGACCTCCCTGGCATGTGCCATGCTGGGAGCCCAACGGGGACAGCGCAATGGTCATCAGAGCCCAGACATAGGCTCCCAGCACCGCACTCCAGCCTGAGGAATGTCACCCAGGGCACTGGGAGCTGCTGACATCTCGGCCCTGGCTGGCATCAGCGGGGAAACCAGGGCCTTTGAGCCCCCGGAGCGGGCAGGGGGAGCCTGCGTCTCCATCCGAAGGCCCCAAGCTGAGCCAGCCCCAGCTCCCCTTGCCGGGCTCGTGGCTTTGTGCAGAAAGCCCCGATGATAACACGGGGCGGCTTCCGGCACTGGGACAGCACGCCCCAGTCACGGGGCCTGGCAGGGAAATGGCACCGCAGATAAGGCCCAGGAGAGGCAGCCACGGATACAGCTGCTTCCTGGAGCGCCCGTGCCAGCAGCACCAGGATGGGGTGGGGGGGCAAGACAGCAGGGTCCAGCACCCCTGGGGCAACTCCAGTGGGGCTAGGTCAGGTCAGAGCATTGGGGGCAGAAGGGACCTCCCCTGGCCTGGCACCTCCTGGGAGCTGCTGGGCACTGGCTGCAGGTGCCCATGGCCAAGGTCAAGCAGGCCAGGCTCGAGCTGGCCACCAGGGGGCGGCCCACCCCCACAGACATGGAGGGGCAGCCAGCAGGGGAGAGGCCAAAGGTGCCCAGACCAGCCCTGCCTGCAGCTGGGATTGGCACATCTCCATTCTGCCTCCCCAGATGCTCAGGACTCCCGGCTGCTGTGCCCATTCCTTTCCACCCCTGCCAGCATGGGCAACACCCAGAGGGCAGCTGGGCTCCCATGTGCCCAGCTCTAGGAGTGATGTGGGCAGGGAGGGTCCTGACCCTGCCCAGGGAGGGTGCTGGGCAGCCCCGGGTCGGGGGGAAGGACGCTGTTCCAGTGCCCTTTGGACCCAGCTCTGTGCACAACCCCTTTGCTGCCATTGCAAACATTGACTTTGCAAGAGTCCTGGCAGCACCCGGCCCACCTGGCACCACGATGCTTGCCTAGCCCAACCCAGCACTGATCCCATGCCCTGCGATGAGCCCCACCTGCCCCTGGCTGCAGTGTCTGGTCTCAGGCTTGCACCCTGCAGGCAAGGAGGGTGGGGGCTGGGGGAGTCTGTTCAGCCCAGGTCTCCAGCCTGGCACTGACTTCATGCCCTGCACTGTGACCCAGCCCACCTTTCCCTGCAGGCCCCCAGTGCCCCCACCCTGGCAGTCAGCCCCCGCACAGAGCCCTGCCTCAATCCCTGAGCAGCTCCTGGATGGAAAAGGTCATGCATAGACTCCACTGTGTGGGTAGCTGCAGCTGCCTTTGCGCCGGGGGCAGGAGATCCCCCTGCTGCCCCTCCCCAGACCCCACTCCTGGGTCCTCTCATATTGCAACAAGGCGCTGAGTCACGGCCATGGTATGGATTACCAAGCTGGCACCAAGCTTGACCAGGCCAACCTGGAGAGCTGGTCATCCGTCTGGCCCTCTACAACCCTAAGCCATGGCTCTGCCCATCTCCTTGCAGCCGCACGACCTGGCTCTGTCTGTCCATCCGCATAGAGTTGTGCGACCTGGCTCTGCCTGTCCCCATACAGCCCCGTGCCCATCCCAACATCTGCCTGAGGTTTCTCTCCAGCCCAGGTCCCAGGCCTGCTCCTCATGCCCGTCACTCCCATCCTCTGCTGCGCTTCTTGCCCCAGTGCCAAAGAGCTGCCCAGGAAGGAGCTTCCCCAGCTGGACTCCCATGGTTGGCAGCCCCTACATTAATGATTAGCCAGCTCCTTTGCTCCTGGCTGGCCCGGCCAAAGGCCAGGGTGACACAGGGGCTGGCCTGTGCCTTTTTCCCTTCCCCACCATGGAGGAACTAGGGCTTGGGTTGCTTGGACCCTAGGTCGATATCTTGACCCCCTTAACCACCAGGCCAGCTCTGCCCCATGCAGGGGGGCCCAGGATGGAGCAGGGTCACCCCCGTGCTGGGCTATCCTGGACTGACATGGATGGACGCAGGGGCAGGGGTTTGTGACTGCCCCAGGTAGATGGGTTTGGCATGGCGTGCCATCAACCAGGCCTGGGATCGGGGTCTCAGGCCAGCCACGGCTTGCCCAGTGCAGTACCCACCCTCTGCTCTGTTCCAGTGCCCGCTCCTCCCACCTGCAGGGGTGTCGAATGCCTGGGTTTTTTCCCCTTCTTCCTAGCTCAGCAAAGAGCTCCTGCTCTTCCTCTTCCCACCGGCGGGTGAGTCAGCGCAGGGGTCCCTCAGCCGCCTCCACCAAATCTCATGCACCGGTTGTCAGATCCCGGCTGGCGATATGGCTCCACGCACCACCCACATACTTGCCGTGGGAGCGGGGGTAGCAGGCAGCTCCAAAGCATGGCACCGAGCAACCCCACACTCAGCTGCCATCCCCTGTCTACATCACACCAGATGCCCGGGGCTGCTCCTGCTGCCCAGCTTGGCTTGGCAGGGCAGGGCCTTTCCTTCTGTATGTGCAGCACCTTGCACAGCGCAGTTCTGCCCTGGACTGGTGCCTCTGGGTACTGCACATGAGGAGGATGAAAGGCGGTTTGCTTTCCCCAGCACTGCTCCTTCCTTAGCCACCAGTGCTGACAGGTTCCCCTCACCACTGGGGTGGAAACTCTGCCGGGAGACCCAGGAACCGGAGCTGGTCAGTGGAGGGGAGACCAGCTGCAGCTCAGGGGAGAACCCAGGAGCCAGGAGCAAGGCGCCATTGCACAGGCAGCAAGACGCACGGAGCTGCCACCTTGGGGACCAGCAGGGACCGGCGGCTGGAGCATCTTGGGAGCTGGCCCAGGCAGAAAGGAAGGAAGCCTCCATTCAGCCACTGCCCCAAAGCAGGCATGAGGCTTGGAGCTGGAGACCTGCCCTGACTCCAGGATGCCTGGCCCTGCTCCTCGGCGTCCTGCTTGTTGGCTCCACCAGCTCCCTGGCTACAGGTCCCGACACACACCTAGGTCCTGCGTCGAGCTGTCCCTGCCGGGAGCCAGGGGCCATGGGCCTGTGGGGTGAGGCCAAATGGGCCCTTCTACTCCGCTCCAAGCACCCAAGGGCCTGAGCCAGGGTTATACACACCCTGCACCCCATGCCCGGATATCACCCAGCAGGGGGCTTCCCATCCAGACTGGGTCAGGGAGGGGCAAGCTGCCCTCCCCCTCAGGAGGGGCTTCATGCTCACAACCCACAGGGACTCAAGGGGCGGCTCCCCATCCCAAGCAACGCGCAGGCTCTCTGCAAACCCAGGTCATGTCACTGCATCACTGAGAGCCCTGACGGGCCCAGGCTTCACGGGGACCCAGGACCTGCTTCCATCCTGGCAGCCGGCAGAGGTGGGTGAAAGGGATCTGCACAAAGGAGGAGGCTGAGGCAGGGGGGTAACACGCGGGGCAGATGCCACCGGGCACAGAACAGCAGGGAGCCCTCGCCGCGTCTTGCCCCGAGGCTCCGGACCCAAAGCGCAAGGGCCCGAGCAGGGGGCTGGGAGCCAGGATTACGGGGTACCCCCCGGCTCCAGGAGAGCAGTGGGGTCTGGCATCCGCTCCCTCTGCTTGTGCCAGCCTCCCAACCCTTCCTGCCCTGGGACATGGGCTCCGGGCTCCCCTCGCCACCCTCCACCCAACATCAGGGCTTGGATCCAGCTCCCTATCACAACCCCCCAGGCTGTGCTAGCCGCACCCATGGGAGGTCACAGCTTGTGGCCTCTGTCCCTGGGGTGGGGACCAGCACGTCCTCGGGGAAAATGTATCTCCCAGGCTGCAAGACTGAACCCGGCTGGGGCAACAATCTGGGTGCGGACGGACGCAGCTCCCCATCGCGACCCCCCAGGCCGTGCCATCCGCACCTGAGGGAAGGTCACAGCTCGTGGCCTCGATCCCTGGAGTGGGGACCAGCGCATCCCCCGGGGAAGGGTGAGCGCCACTGGGGTGGCATGGAGGGGGCAACCCCCGCTCTCTACCCCCAGGGCACCAATTCTGCCCCCAGCCCCATCCCCCTGCCACTGCCCTGGGGGGAGGTGGCAGCTCCTGGCCTCCGTCTCTGGGGTGTCCTCGGGGAAAACAC